GGGGGGGGGGGGGGGGGGTCTCTTTCTATTGCTTGTGGTATCCAACTACTTCATTGCCTGCTTTCTCAAGTTTTCTTATATTCTTTTTCTTCTTGGTGATCCAAGAAAGCTTTGATTCTTAAGTTTTATGAATAAAAATAATTTACAGTGAAAAGATATTCAGTACTATTCAGCAACAGTTTTGGTCTGCTCTCTCATTTGATGTGTTTTATTAAAGCTTGGCTTCTCTCTCATTATTACTACTAAATCCTCGAAGAGCAAATCACAGACAACTTAAGAGTCATGGGTTCCAACATTCTCAGGAATTTGGCACTATTCTTCTTACTCTTCTCAGGTAAAGGTCGATTTACGCTTCGTTTCTTTTGTAGCCATTTTCATGCTCATTGTTAGACTGTTATAGTTTGAGAATCAAAGAGCAAGCAAGTGAAAGATAAGTTTGTTTCTAAGTAAACTTCTACTATATATCATTTTTTTAACAAGTTTGACACGTGGGAGTAGAAGAATTCGAACCTTTGAATTTCCAGCTGAGGGTACGTGTCTTGTCTAGTTGAGTTACACTTGAAATGTCGAAGCATATCAGGTTGATAGGTCGATCTCTGCAAACAAAATGACATAAAATTGTTAGATATGGAAGTGATTCCGAAGTGTTCTTCATATCTTATACACAGTAAATTGAAGATTGACAAAGTTTTCTCCCTTTCTCATGGTATTAAATATAGATGTTGTCAATTCCTCATGCAATTCAAATCCTTGTAACTGTGTTGGATAAATGCCTTTAATTTGGTTTAGACAACTTTATAGCATCTAAATAGAGTCCAAAATTGTGCTAAATCAATGCATTGAAACGAAAATCACACACACAAACAAAATGAAGTGTATAAACATGCTATCCAGGAATGTAACTTGCTAACATTTCAGTAATTGCAGTAAATTTTACCAAAAAAGGTGAAAATTTGATGTTTAAACATGCTATCCAGGAATGTAACTTGCTAACATTGCAGTAATAGCAGTAAATTTTACCAAAAAAGATGAAAAACTGATGTAGTTTTACCTCTTCAGGTTCAAGTTTTGCAGAGAAACCTCCTATACAAGAAGAAAATCAACAAGACATACCTCTGCAGAGTGAAGAAGACAGAAAGATCTTCTCTCCTTCAGTACATTTCACTCAGTTGGATGACGTCCCCATTGTAAACCCAGCGACAACGCCAGGAGAAGTTCAAACTCCAATAGTAAACCCAACTACGTCGCCACAGACGGTACCGAACTCAGTAAACCCTAATATGATGACTCCCACCACGGGGCCTGGGAACTCTGGTGGAGGTTCATGGTGTATTGCAAGCTCTGCTGCTTCCCCAACTGCTCTACAGGTGGCTCTTGACTACGCCTGTGGCTATGGCGGTGCCGACTGTTCGGCGATTCAGCCAGGTGGGAGCTGCTATGACCCCAACACCGTGAAGGACCATGCTTCTTATGCCTTCAATGACTATTACCAGAGGAATCCAGCTGCTACTAGCTGTGTTTTTGGAGGAACAGCTCAACTGGTTAGCACAGACCCAAGTATGACAACTTTTACCTTTTTTGAATCATAATCAACCCCTGTTATCACCTGTGGTAAACAATTCTGAGAGATTTTTTAACTACTGAACTGCTTAAACCAGGATTATTGAATAGAGTTTGTAACATCTCAATCCCACCGTTAGTAGATATTGTCCTCTTAGCAGTGGGCTTACGCTGTTACAAATGGTATCGGAGCCAAACACCAAGCAGTGTGCTCCCAAGGGAGGTGGATTGTGAGATCCCACATTGGTTGGAGAGCAGAACGAAACATTCCTTATAAAGGTGTAGTGTAGAAACCTCTCTCTAGCAGACGCATTTTAAAATCTTGAGGGAAATCCCAAAGAGGACAATTTCTGCTAGTGGTGGGCGTGAGTTATTATAGAGTTCGTCCTTCATCTGTTAATCCTACTACTAACAGCTTTTATACAATAGAAACTGACCACACTACAAAGTACTAAGGTGTATTTTAACTCACAAATTATGATTTCCTTTGTAGTTAGTTAATCCATTTGTGTTGTACTACTATTTTTCGTTCAACCCTTTATGAGTGAGCATAGTTTCCTTCTCTCTCTCTCTTCTCATCCTCCTTTCCTAGTAGAGATAAATTCTGAGGTTTGACAAAGTCAAACCTCAAAGGTGAAATAAAATCTAAGAAATTGGTCAGTTATAATTGTTTTTAACTATCTTTTCAATATTACTGCAGGTAATGGTAACTGTCACTTTGCAACATCCAGAGCTGTACCAAGGTAATCCCTTAAGGGCTCCTTCATTCATTTTACTATGAGACTATACTTCACCCAACAAAAGTAGAAAAAAGAACTCAGTTTAGTAAGCAAAAACAAAACTATTTAGACCAAAATAAAGAAAAAAACTAATTTGTTTTACGTACCTTTCACAGCCCCCCTCCACCGGCAGTTCCAAACCCAACACCACCGCCGCCTGTAATCCCAACACCAACACCGCCCATCACCACAATACCAACCATGACACCGCCAGCTCCCACGAACCCAACGTTTACGCCCACAGATCCATCGATGTATGGTGCAGAACCATCAGGCATGCCCAGCTCAGCCACTTCAATATCAAAACGATCACTGCTGCTTTTGGCCATGACTTACCTTTTGGGTTCGCTTGTGGCAGATCATCTGTAAGAAGAAGGAATCTCATTTCTTCTCTCCACAGAGAGATGGCAATCGCTTATTTGCTGCACATTTTTGCATTGTTAGACATCAATATGATAAAAGGAAAGATTATATAGCAAGTTATTGTTGTTACACCAAGATATGTATTAGAAAAACCAAGTCCACAGGAACATAAATTAGTAGACTAAAGAAATAAATAGGTCACATATGCTAGCTATACGATAATTTACATTGTTAGTCAATAAGGGGATATAGATATGTCAATTCCATTTTGGAAGCTTTTAACCAATAAAAGGATATCGATAAGCCAATTCCATTTGGAAGCTTTTAGGTTGGTTTTCCAGGGAAGAGGCATTGTACTCAGGCTTCACCTTGCACAAGAGTCAGATTCAGTTTTATCAATGAAAGACCACTTTGTCAAATGTATGATTATTCACTGTGTAATTTGATGATAGAAGGCAGGTTCACAAATTTGCATATATAACTAGGATTGATGCTATTAAACTTCTGACTCGATCGATTGGAGCTCAGGAATAAAGTTTGAAATAATTTTAATGATTGACCCAAAAAAGAAAGGAAAATTTATTCATCAACATAAAAAGGAAAGGTCTGTACATTGCGACTGTAGTGTAACTGTTACAGGTAGACCAGTATTATTTAAGGAAGATTTAACCAATATAAGGTTTACTTGGGAGTGACTGAAGAACTCAGATCACGAGCAGGATTGAGACAGCCGTTACACAAATGATTGCCACTGTTGCAACAATTGAATTCTGATCAAAAGCTCTTCGAAAGCTGCCAGCTCGAGAGAAATGCTGGAAAGCCAAATATGCTGCAATCAGTAGTGAGATGATGGTCCCTTCTTGAGTTCCCCTGCCAATGGGAGATAATAATTAAATGCTGAGATTGGAAAAATTATGAAGTTCAATTTGATCAAGAGTTCAAATGTGTACCTTAAGTTTTGGACTTGATATGGGGCCACAATCACCAAAAGTAATGATATGAATGGTATCTCGAGTTCACCTACATCCAAAAGAATCCAGCATCCGACTTCCTATGAATTTTCTACTCATTCAATGGATTGTACAAAATGGAATGCTTTCAATGAATTGAATAAAATGAGGTTCAAATAAATAAGTTTCGAGCCAAGCTATATACCAAGTCCCTTTCGGGATAAAGTGAATGATAACCAGCAATTAAATTCATAGATGATCGTGTGAGGTAGATCAGGAGAGACTATACCAGGGATGAAGAAAAACAGACGAACAAGAAGTGCCAAAAATGCGCTCCAGATGCCATATTCTCCTCTGAAATTCAAGTTAGAACCAAAACATTATCCCAGTTAGAACTAATAGCTCATAAATCTTGCGGATAGATACTGATCTTAGAAGGACTAAATTAAAATTCTTAAAGAGAATCAACGCATCTATGTGATCGTAAGGGGAAAATGGATGGCAGTATATAGAGAGATTTCAAGAGGCTTACTTAATCCACGAGATAACACTTGCAGGAGCCTGAAGAGCAAATAGCGGAACGATAAATGACTTCTGGATCCCAGTCCCCCTTGCGAGCATTAAAATCCTGGAGAAGAAATCTAGGGTTTTAAAATTTTACTTTGATACGTGCAATGGACTCTGAAACAGCAGATCAAGGTGATCGTTGTAACATCATGACGGTTGGAGATATAAAAGTAGCCACTGAATGTTATCAACTTAAACGCAATTCATTACATAGCGAACGCAAACGAATTTTAGCAAAACATTTAACAACTCTTGAGTACTCAATCCTCATTCTACAGAATCGTGTCTCAAAAGATTGGAAGTCGTAAAATCCATCGTTGAGGGAGCCAACATCGATGATTAACAGCACAACTTGAATAATATAATAAGATCATCTATATTAGACATGATGATGCTATGCTTATTTCACACATGATCAAGAGAGAGCGAGAGGATGATTACACAGAAGAAATAGTGGAGATCCACTGAAGATTGCGAGCAGAAAGAGGCATCGCGTAACATACAGCACTCAAACCACGCCTCCTCTTCTTGTTAATCGCCAACGTCGAACTCACGTCGCTACCGAAACCAAACCTGGTCAAACATCTTTTCATTTTTAAACAATACTAACAGATTTTTAATCCAAAATCACTACTCAAACGGACTAACATGATTTTGAAGCCTGAAATTACCTGATCGGATTAGAACATATCAAACTCTGTTTAGCGGCAGGATTAAACGTGAGCTTTGCATTCGGCAGAGAGGATCTTAGAGAGAGAGGAGCGGATAGCTTGGATTTGTATAGAACAGGACTGTGAAGTGAAATAGCAGAAGATAATACACAAACCATTTCCCCTTTCTTCCGTTGCCTGGTTCAGCTTCTATCTTCTCTCAGATTTGGACTGTAAACGATGCTTTCGATTCTCTAGTTTTGATTCAACAAGCAAATCGTCGCTTGCCTGACTGATGAACACGAAGAATCCAGAGCCGCCTTACCGAAGTGGAGTGATTGGGCCAATTGTCGTTCAACTCGAACACGTCAATCTTAATTTCAGTTTATTCTATTTATAATGGATAGCAAAAATATTACCAAAGTTTTTCATTTTGTAACAACTTAAAAAATTATAATAATAACAAAATTAGAAATAATAATAATCTTACCTTTCCAATTAACTTCTCACCACTCCTTTCCTAAAATAACTCCGTCAATTCAGTAATTCTTTTTTTTTTTACAGTAAAAACCAATCGAAAACAAAAAGATTGATGTAAATTTAATTTTGCTGTAAAACGTCATTTGAAAAAGTCAGTAACCATATTTTACATCTTTTCTATATTCTATGGAATAATATTAATTTAATTGTAATTAATTAGTTTTAAATTAAGGATTAAATTATTGAATTTTAGAAATTAATCATAGTTATCAGATAAAAATAAAAATTGATTAAAGAAAAAAAAATCTTTAATATAAATAATATATATATAAAAATATATTAGATGCATGTATAAACATATATAAATATTCCAAAATTCTAATTATACACCGTGTTTATTGTCCACGTGAAGTCTTACACATGAACCATTGTAAGCTTTAGTGAAATAATTTTGCAGAAGTTTAAACTTGAAATTAATATTATGAGCTCATATGGATTGACTTGGATTTCAAATGACATAATCAAACTTTCATAAATAATAAATTAGTGATACTAATTAGGTAAGTAACTTTATTATCGGTATAGTTAGAAGTTTGTATTTTGTATGACGATACGTGCTTTCGTAGTTCTGCACGTGTCATATGTTTGATATGTGTGAAGTGCTATGAAATGATATGTTTATGATATGATATGATGTGTTTAACAAAATAATACATGTTATGATATGATACGGCATAATATGACATAATATGATATCTGACATGAATGATACACAGTAAATATGTTTCGACACGGTATACAACCCCGATATATGTTTTAAAGGCTATAATATAAAATGATATGATATGAAGGAAAATGAAAATGTTATTTTTACATGGGTACGGACACGTGCATTACGAAAAGAAAAATGATTATTACGTTTATCGTAATGCTACGATGGTCACTATTTCTATCGAGTGTCCAATAACAACACCAGATACTGCTAGCCTGAACAGGAAAAGGGGTCCAGGAGGTATACGAATCGACTGGTGGGTCTATATTCATATGTGTGGGTCGTGTGTAGAATAGTAAATACACATCTAGTGACCTCGCTTTGGATAGCCACCTAAGAGAATACGACTTTAAATAATAAGTCATATTCATGATTGCATGTGTTTGCATCTAACCCCAATAGTGAAATCTATTTTTTAAAATACTCAAGTCACGTGCTACTTTTATTTTCAAGGAAAAGACAAGGCTCTCAAGTAAATATCTCGTTTATGAAAATATTATAAGAAAATTAGCCATTAAATTTTTTAAAAAAAATTTAAATTTGTGAAAAAATAACTAATTTACTAAATTTAAATTTAATTTTTACAATATTAAAAATTAAAGTTTGTATTCGATTTAAAAATATTAGAAATAAAAGTATATAGATTAAATAAAAAATTTGAAAGTCCATGTACCAAATAAATGAAAAATAACGCGCGGATCTAGAATCGAACCAACACCCTTGGACTTGAATTTGTGAACTGGTGCACAACTAGCACGAGAGTACACCATCAAACGTGCATCGATCCTTGCACATGGGTTACCTTTATGGCGTGTGACTTGGTGCGTGAGACCCCGTTCGATTGTTTTTCATCCCGATTTCAATACCGGTGCTAATTTAGGTTGATTCAGGACCTACCAATAAGATTTTAAAAAATTTGGGACTTACAACGAGCGTAAACACAAGGTATGAACGACACGCTTCATCCCGGTAAGTAACCACTTAGACTATAGGCAAGTAATACTTGTAGGGATCGTTAGGACGTGTTAAGGTGCGAGCATAATGTACCTTAAATAGTTAGAATACGTGTGATAAGGACTTAGAATGAGCAATTTGAATGAAAATGACACGTATGTTATAAAAGTATGAAATTTTCCTTAGAATGAGAAAATTGAGAAACATGTCTAATTTAATGTCTTCCGCTGTTGTAAATTGGAGGAAGTGATACTGTGATATGTGCTTCGGGGGGAAAGCAACGAGAGCCTACAAATAGATTGGTTATTGAGTTTTTTTTTTTTTTTTTTCATACTCACTAATTTTTCCCTTTCTTTTCAGGTACCAATTAAGGTAGGGAGGTGCTCGGGAGCTACACTGTCATAAAGGGGTGTCGACCCGGGGCATTAGTTAGTTGTATTCTTTTTATGATTGTCAGTGTTTTTTTTTTTTGTTACTTTTATTTTATTTTGTCTTTTTGTTATGGTTCGATTTCTCAAATCCTCAAAATTCGAGCGGTGATAAACAAGTCAATAAACTCTTAATTTTGTGCGTAATGAGACAAATAAATTTATATCTGACACGATGTTAAATTTTTAATTATGTATCAAATAAATTTATAAATTTATAAATTTTAGTATCGTCCAATGACATAATAAATATGAAATTGGAATATTATTTATTTATTTTTTAAAAAATTAAGATTATTACTCAAACTTTT